GGGAAGCCTGCTTCTCCCTCTCTCACTCCCCCTGCTTGTGTTCCTTCTCTCACTGTGTCTCTCTCTATCAAATAAATAAAATCTTTAAAAAAAAAGATCAAGTGTATTATGAGCGTGTGCAAGTGCTTGATACTTTCTGGATTTTCCGGGCGGCTGCCAGAATACATCTAATGAATAAATATTTCTCAGGCTGTTTGCTTTTCCTAAAAGATTCTTCGGGGAATAACACACATCTTCAAGAAGAACCTTACTTCTCTTTGGCTCTCTATATTGGCAAGTGGAGACACAGAACCCAGATCCAAATATATTTGATTAGGCCTCTTCTTTAGCCAAAGTATGAGGTAGGTGAAATGAGCCTTCAGTTTTCCTTAGGCATCCTTCCTTTAGATCCCTCCGCCATGTTCTAGATGCCTGGAGGCTTGTACACTGTCTCCTTCTGTTTATAAGTTTAGTTTCAGACTCTCCATTTTCTTTCACCATCCTCTGTGTACCCTCACCCCCAAACCAGCAGTTCTTATTTCTCACTGCTATCTCTGTAGGTAACCTGAGCGATATACAGTCAGAAAATCAAACTTTCTCCATTCTCTCCTGCTACTGGCCATCTCTTCCCCATCCCTGGTCCCCACCTCCAGCCCAGCCCACCCCGAGCCTCTGGCAATGCCAATCCTTCTGCCTGGAAGCCTTTCTTCCCAACTCTGCCTGTTGACCACCTCCTACTCATCCTTCATGGGCCATTGCTGATAAATCATCGCTCACAAAACCTTCACGTGTTTCCCCAAGTAGGTATGGTTTCCCATTCCTTTGAAATCTTAAGAGTGATTTGTTTATACTCTCATCTTACTATCCTTTGTTTGAGGTGTATTTCATACTTTTCTTTTACAAACCGTACACCGGATGATACATTGCCAAAGAGCAGTCCTTTTGGATGCTTCCTTTCACGTGAGTCAGGTATAAAGACCCTCATGAAGTCCTTTGTTTGATGAATAATGATGGCTCTTTTCTTTTCCAAAGCCCTAGGAAGGACTCTACTCTGGTTGGAAATTGATAATCCAATTAAATCTGATTAAAAATGGCTTAGTGCTGTTTTCCAAGCTCAGTGAAAAATGGATTCTATTGCCAAAAATGTTTATGACATATTCTCTATATATTCTCTTCTGGTAGTTTATGATGCACAGGCTCACACTGAAGACTCTGAGAAGTTCTGCTTTGATAAGTCTAGGATCGTCCAAATTTATTTGGTCATATAATACCCATTTTTTTTTTTTTGTTTTCCTTTTAACTCTTCAAAAAATTTACCCAAGTGTAACTGGACAAATACTAGATTAGGGTTTTTGTTTCTTTATTGTCATTAGTAACTTCAATCTCGAGTGACAATGATCATAAATAAATATGAAGAGTTCCGATTGCAGGGAAATCTGGTGGAAATGGGCATACCTGGGGCATGCAGGTAATCATTTGGTCTTTTTCTTTATAACAAATTTTTATAAAAGTATTACTTCCTTTTGGATTTGGACCCAGAATTACTGTTTTTTGAACATGAGAGTTGTAAAAATAGACTTAAATATGGTTCACTAGGCAAAGGTGTCTACATACTAGTTAACCTTATTTTCTTCTTTTCCTCTCCTCATTCTCTCTCTCCCGTTTTTCCCTCTCTCCTCCCTACTTCCTTTCCTCACTCCCTCCCTCTCTGGGTCATACCAATAACCAACTGAAATGTCTGTAAGTATTTCCAGCTGAAAAGCTTGTACAATGTCCGGATGAGCAGTTGGGGTTCATCAAATTATTTGAGAGTTTGAAAATTACTTGGATAGTTTCGACTATGAAGAAAGCCTGTGACTAGCTTATAAATCATTTTTTGTCCATCATAAAACATCCTCAACATTGGTGAACAAAGGAGGTGATCAGGGTAACTGAGTGCACAGAAGTTGGCATCCAATTAAGTTGTGTTCTTGGGCAAGTTACTGAATCTCTCTAAGCCTGTTTCCTCACCTATAATGTGAGGATAACAATAGTACCTTATAAGGTTGCTGTGAGGTTTTACAGGTAAAGTGGTTAACAGAGTGGTTAGCATATATTAAGGGCTTAAAAAGGGTTCATTGTTATTTTGAGTGGATAAGAATGTATATTTTTATTTCAATTGTCTCATACAAAGAAAACTGGAAAAAAAAAAAAAGGAGCTAAAGTCTACAGCCATCTTTAATTAAAAGGCAAACTACATTTCCCAGAATCTCATTTGTGTGATTCTGTATTAGAACTGGCTAAAGGGCGCCTGGGTGGCTCAG